CAGAGGGAGGAACACTCCCAAACTCATTCTACGAGGCCACCATAACCTTGATACCAAAACCAGAGAAGGATGTCACAAAGAAAGAAAACTACAGGCCAGTATCACTGATGAATGTAGATGCAAAAATCCTCAACAAAATACTAGCAAACAGAATCCAACAGCACATTAAAAGGATCATACACCATGATCAAGTGGGGTTTATCCCAGGAATGCAAGGATTCTTCAATATATGCAAATCAATCAATGGGATAAATCATATTAACAAACTGAAGGAGAAAAACCATATGAGCATCTCAATAGATGCAGAGAAAGCTTTCCACAAAATTCATCACCCATTTATGATAAACACCCTGCAGAAAGTAGGCATAGAGGGAACTTTCCTCAACATAATAAAGGCCATATATGACAAACCCACAGCCAACATCGTCCTCAATGGTAAGGGTTTTTTTTTAATATAAATTTATTTATTTTATTTTTGGCTATGTTGAGTCTTTGTTGCTGCGTGCAGGCTTTCTGTAGTTGCAGTGTGTGTGGGCTACTCTTTGTTGCAGTGTGTGGGCTTCTCACTGTGGTGGCTTCTCTTTATTTCAGAGCACAGGCTCTAGGCGCACGGGTTTCAGTGGTTGTGGCTCAGAGGCTCTAGAGCACAGGCTCAGTAGTTGTGGTTCATGGGCTTAATTGCTCCACAGCCCGTGGGATCTTCCTGGACCAGGGCTCGAGCCCATGTCCCTTGCGTTGGCAGGCGGATTCTTAACCACTGCACCACCAGGGAAGCCCAGGCTTGATTATATAATAGCACTTATGGATAACAACACAAAAATATGATTCTCCAATACTATACAAAAAGTTTTTTTCTATTTCTTAATAGAAATGATGAAGATGCTAAGAGAACTTATGAAACAAACTTACTATGCTTTAAACTATGTATTGTTATTTCAAAATTAAGAATGGGAGTGCAGGAAAAAGAAATGAGTCCATATGCTTAAGAGTTCTTTATGGAGCTAAACTGTGTTGTTTTACGTAAGTTCTTTGACTGAATTTCTTTTCTTCGAACTAAGTTTATGATTGCTGTTATAGTAACATTAATTATACTTATATTAAGTGATATAGTTGTACCTCAATTTTAAAAATGAGAAAAATGATATAGCTGTATCATATACATACTATACTATATAGTATATTAATATATAATGTAATCATAAATTATGATAAATATTTTAAAATATAAGAAACAAATAGCACTGTTGGTGGGACTGTAAATTGATGAAGTCACTATGGAAAACATTATAAAAACAGAAGTTCCTCAAAAAGTTAGAAGTAGAACTACCGTATGATTCAGCATTCCATTTCTGGTTATATATACACACAAAGGAAACAAAATCAATATCCCAAAAACGTCTCTACACCCCCATGTTCTGTGCAGCATTATTTACAATAGCCAAGACATGGAAACAACCTAAATGTTAAGTGTCCATAGATGGATAAATGGGTAAAGAAAATGTAAGATATATAGATATAGAAATGATATAGATATATAGATATAGATATATAATGGAATATTATTCAACAATAAAAAAGGAGATCCTGCCATTGTGACAACATGGATGGACCTCAAGGGCATTATGCTAAGTGAAATAAGTCAGACAAAGACAAATACTGTATGATTTCGATTATATGTGGAATCAAAAAAAAATTAATTCATAGATACGGACAACAGATTGGTGTGGGGGTAGGGATGGATGGAGGAAATGGATGAAGGTGATCAAAAAGGTAAAAACTTCCAGTTATAAGACAAACAAGCTCTGGGTATATAATGTACAACATGGTGACTACAGTATATGTTAAAGTTGCAAACAATAGATCTTAGAAGTTCTCATCACAAGAAAAAGAATTGTAACTATTGGTATAATGGATGTTAATTAAACTTATTGTGGTAATCATTTGGCAATATATACCTATATCAAATCATTATGCTGTACACCTTGGACTAATACAATGTTATATATCAATTATATCTCAGTAAAACTGGAAAAAATAATTTAAAAAAAACAAATAAATAGAAGAGATTGATTCCCTTAAACAGAAAGCAAATAGAAATTATTAAATTTTGGGGACTTTCCTGGTGGCGCAGTGGTTAAGAATCCGCCTGCCAATGCAGGGGACATGGGTTCAATCCCTGGTCTGGGAAGATCCCACATGCTTTGGAGCAACTAAGCCTGTGTGCCACAACTACTGAGCCCACATGCCACAACTACTGAAGCCCGCGTGCCCTAGAGCCTGTGCTCCGTGACAAGAGAAGCCACCACAATGAGAGGCCCGCTCACCGCAACGAAGAGTAGCCCCTGCTCACCGCAACTAGAGAAAGCCCACGCGCAATGAAGACCCAATGCAGCCAAAAAAAAAAAAAAAATTATTAAATTTTGAATATATGAGCAAATAGATTGCCCTGAAGTGATATCACCAAAATTACTCAAAATTTCTGAGTGCTATCCCTCAAAATTAGTTTCATGTTGACCTTAAGTTAAAAAAGATAAAAGTATATTAATGATCTATGCCAATGTTATTAACTAAGTGAGGGTAATTACAAGAAACTTGTCTTCACACACTAATTCCTGCAGATATATGTATAAGTAATAAAAATAACTCCAACAACCGTAACTTTTGATTAGTGAAAGTTAGCTTGTGTTTCTTGGTATGAATTGAGAATGGATGAATAAAATGATTTCTATTAGATGCTTCTCCTTTTGGCATGAGGAAAAGCATAGTATTGGTTCAGTCTTGTAATCTCAAATTTTAATTATATAATGTATATAATTTATATACATAATTGTGCTACAGTTTAGCCTCATAAAATAAACACACCATTTATTATTTTTAAGTCTGTAGAGTTCAGATTAAACTTTCTTTGGGAAGTTGTGACACTTTCAGAACACTTGCAGATACTTTCTCTTGAAAGAACTGACAAAAGATAATGTAAGATAGTGAAAAGAGGAAGGTACTGAACCATGGGTATACTACGTTCCTATCTGTGCAAAAAAGTGGGGGGAAGGGTATAAATTCATAAATGTTTGTGCATGCATAGAAGTCAGAGGCGGGAAGATTACCTTTTTTTCACTACAAATATATTTTTACTCTTGGAAAAAATTTAAATATCAAAAAAATAAACCCTAAAAGAAAGTATGACACTTCAAGGCATGTGTCTCAAACTCGGATTAAGACTGCTACAGTGCTACAGAGTTAAATTAGATCAGCTTGCTTGGAGGAGAGTCATTTTCTAATAGGGTGGTTTTTTTTTTTTTTAGCCTCCCGGAGCAGGTTGCAGGATCTTAGTTCCCAGACCAGGGACTGAACTCTGGGCCTCAGCAGTGAAAACCTCGAGGTGTAACCACTGGACCGCCAGGGAATTCCCACATTTCCTAATAGGGCTTTTACCTTTCAGCTTATTTAAGATTGAGTTCTGCAAAGATGCATGAAGAAAAATGCCATTTCAAAATTCATATTTGTTAATGTGGGTACTATGATACTATGAACTGGAGTACTGAGACTTATTTTAAGTCAACTGATACAATGTAATGACTTTTACACTACACTGTAGCCCCAGATTACATACATACCACCAGGCATCGTTACCTTGTCAAATGCTTGCTGCGTGGGGAGAGGGGAGGACAGGAATATACATTTCAAATGACTGCAAAATTCATCCTTCTTTTAGAAAAGGCTTATTTTCCTTATTGTAAGCCAGGGGAAAGGGTATGGCTTATTATTACCCAATAAATAAACATTCTAGTTGTAGGAGACGAGAAAGTACATACAAACATATCACCTGTCGAGAGAAGCGAATTCTCAATTTGTTCTCTGAATCTTCAAGAGTTTTTTTTTTTCCAGTTAATCAGAGTATTAATTATATTTAACACAAAATCTGTTTCTTGAAATACTTGCTTCATTTGGCTTTCAAAGAAGCTACATTTCTCATATCCTCTTACTTACTGGCTATTCTCAGTCTCCTGCCATTCATTCAGCAATGTCTGTTTGGTCTTGAGCAGGTAACTTAATCTCTCTGGTCCTCACATCCGTAAAAGACGTTTTTAGCACAGTCACCGCTCACTGACTGGGAGCTACTATATATCGTTCGTAGTTACTACCACAAAAGCTCTGCTCCGCGCGTCGGCGCTGGCTAGGCCTGAGGTGAACCCACCACACCTCGGAAGACGGTGAGCAGCCTCGGGAATGCTGTGGAAAAGTGAGCAACACTTTCCACACCCGAAGCCAGGCTGGCAATCCGAGTGGAGTTCCCTACGCCCTCGCGCGAGGAAGCCTCAGCAAGCACCAGAAGGCACGGGGTTAACAACCAGGAACTGCGCCAGCCTCCGCCGGGGAAGCGAAACCCGTGACACCACCCCAGCCAGTTCCGTCTTGGGCGCGCCTTCGCTTCCGCCCGCTAACTGCACTTTCGATAAAAACATGGAGTCTAATATTTCCCTCTGGAACTTCTATATTTTCTTCATTTTTTCCATCCGTATGACTTTGGTTGTAGATAAAAATTAAGCTGTGATGGATTAGAGACAGGAGTGACTATGGAAAAAAGGAGCTGGTAAGCGGGCCTGGCGAAAGTGCGTGGCAGGAGCACAGTACGCCCTCTCTTCGCCGGCCGGAAGTTGAGGGACTGAATGGGTTCCGGAACCGGCGGCTGCGCCTCTTCTGTTTCTACCTGACGCTTAACAGTCGCCCAGCCTCAGAGCTCGTCAGCCTCTGGGCCACCAGGTTCATGTGGAGGCTCCCAGGCGCCCGCTCCGCGCTTCGTGTGGTCCGTACGGCAGTGGAGCGGCACAGTCGGGCCGAGGCGGCGACTGAGACCGTGGCAGGCGCGATGGAGCGCGCTGTGGTGCGCTGTGTGCCCTCGGAGCCTAAGCTAAGTCTGTCGTTCGCGCTGGCCGACGGCAGCCACAAGAACATGCAGCGCGACCAGAGCGAGCCGCTGGGTCGGGCCCTCAGCCGGATCGCTACCAATGCCCTCAAAGGCCACGCGAAGGCGGCCGCCGCCAAGAAGAGCAGGAAGAACCGGCCAAACGCAAGCGGCGGCGTGTCCTGTGTGGGGCCTGGGCCCGAGCCGGCTGCAGCCTGCGAACCCGTGGTGAAGCTGTACTACCGGGAGGAGGCAGTGGCTGAAGACGTGCTCAATGTGGACGCCTGGCAGGACGGTGCGGTGCTGCAGATCGGCGATGTCAAGTACAAGGTGGAGCGCAACCCTCCCGCCTTCACCGAGCTGCAGTTGCCGCGCTACATCATGGCCGGCTTCCCGGTGTGCCCCAAGCTCGGCGTCGAATTTGGGGATCCCGCCGGCTCCCTCTTCCGCTGGTACAAGGAAACCAAACCCGGCGCGGCAGAACCTGAGGGCGGAGGACCCTCATCGTTGTCTCCCTCTTCGCCCTCTCCTGGTTGGACTGAGACGGGTGTGGACGAGCGCGTCTACACCCCGTCCAATGCCGACATCGGGCTACGGCTCAAACTTCATTGCACCCCAGGCAATGGGCAGCGCTTCGGGCCAAGCCGGGAGTTGGAAAGTGTGTGTCCAGTGGAGGCCGGGCCCGGCACCTGCACCTTTGACCACCGGCATCTGTACACCAAGAAGGTGACGGACGACGCTCTCATCCGCACTGTCTCCTACAACATCCTGGCCGACACATACGCTCAGACTGAGTTTTCGCGGACGGTCCTGTACCCGTACTGTGCCCCTTACGCCCTGGAACTCGACTACCGCCAGAACCTTATCCAAAAGGAACTCACGGGCTACAACGCCGACCTCATCTGTTTGCAGGAAGTTGACCGCAACGTGTTTACAGACAGCTTGGTGCCGGCCCTGGAGGCCTTTGGGCTGGAGGGCGTGTTTCGAATCAAGCAGCACGAAGGCCTGGCCACTTTCTACCGGAAGTCCAAGTTCAGCCTCCTTAGCCAGCATGACATTGTTTTCCATGAAGCCCTGCAGTCTGACCCACTTCACAAAGAACTGCTGGAGAAACTGGCCTTGTACCCATCAGCGCAGGAGAGGGTGCTCCAGAGATCTTCTGTACTTCAGGTAGAGTAACTCCGCCAGTCTCGACATACTCGTTCTGGAAGGGGCGCCGGGGCCGGGGGTGCTTATAGAGAAGAAACAGTCCAGATTTTACTGAAAGGTGTTTGCTCTTGTATCTTAAGCACGTAATTTAGCCTTCCTTCCTTCCTTCATCATTGAGCAGATACTTATTGAGTACCTGTAATGCGCCAGGCACACTACAGGTTGCCTTGAACAAGACAAACAGGAACTTTTCATAGTGCTTATGATTTAGTGTTTAGCTAAATACAATAATTTAATAGCTAATATTTTCTTACTACTTGCCAAACACTGTTTTGACACATTTTAAAGAATTTGAATTTTAAGTCTCTGGCATGTTGTACAAAGTGCTCCGTAAATATTAGCTGTTATTTTAATTTTGGCTCATAGTAATCCTAATGTTCCCATTTTATAGATGTTATTCTAAAACTCTGTTGTCCAGAGTTTTTAGGTAGTTGGTTTTGTTCATAGTAAGAAGAGCAGCTGCCATTTTTTGAGCACCTACTGTGTCTCATGCACCTCTGAGTAAGCTTATTTAATTGAATCCACACAATTAAATGTCCTCCTTGAGGTGGATGATATTGTCTCTTTTTTACTCATGATGAAGCTGGTTTAGGAAAAAGAAGTGTCCCTCTCCAGGTCTCAGTGCTGTAAATGGTAGAGTGGGTATTCAAAGCGAGTTCTGCCTGACTCCAAAGCCCACGCTTACCCACATTAAAACACGGGCTCCAACCTTAGTGTTGTCATCTAAAATGTATTCATGCTACCTCTGTGTATTGGACTGTTACTAAAATGTTATGCTGAATCCCATTCATTTATATTCCAAAACTTAAAATTAAATTTCATAATTTCAATCATACTTCATCAGCAGGGAGGCATATGGAATAAAATGTCAGTTCATCATATAGTTTTAGATTTTTTAAAAATTCAGATTGGGAAATAGCATCTGAACTTGGCATTTTCTGTTTATTTTAGGTTTCTGTTCTTCAGTCTACAAAGGACTCTTCTCAAAAGATATGTGTTGCTAATACCCATCTCTACTGGCACCCCAAAGGTAAGTTTTATTGGTTTTCTCAAGTGGCTTGAACGTGGTAACGTAACGTCGGTAAAAGCTGTTTTACACAAATACATCTTTTTTTTTCTGAGTTTTATTGAGATATAGTTGACATACAGCGCTATACAATTTAAGGTGTATGGTATAATGACTTATACATATTGCAAAATGATTATCACAATAAGTTTAGTTAAAATCTATCACCTCATATAAATATCCCCCAAAAGGTTTTTTTCCTTGTGATGAGAACTTCTGGGGTTTACTCTCTTAGCACCTTTCAAATATACCACCCAGCAGTGTTAACTATAGCCATTGTGTTGTATATTACATCCCCAATACCAGTAATCTTATAACTGGAAGTTTTATCTTTTGACCACCTTCATCCACTTCCTCCCCACACATACAAATACATATCTTGAATGTCACCCAGATACTGTGGTTTGTTTTTTAATTTCTTTGTTTTTTTTAACTTAAAGGCAACTTTAGAAAGTACTTAACATTAATGTTTTTTATATTCATAGGTGGGTACATTCGTCTCATTCAAATGACAGTAGCCTTGGCTCACATTAGACACGTCTCTTGTGATCTGTATCCCAGCATACCAGTTATATTTTGTGGGGACTTTAATAGTACCCCATCAACAGGAATGTATCACTTTGTCGTCAGTGGCAATATTCCAGAGGATCATGAAGACTGGACTTCCAATGGGGAAGAGGAACGATGCAACATGTCTCTTACCCATTTCTTCAAACTGAAAAGTGCTTGTGGTGAACCTGCTTACACAAATTACGTTGGTGGCTTTCATGGATGTCTGGATTACATTTTCATTGACTTAAATGCTTTAGAGGTTGAACAGGTGATTCCATTACCTACTCATGAAGAAGTTACCACCCACCAGGCCTTACCTAGTGTTTCCCATCCCTCTGATCACTTAGCACTTGTATGTGATTTAAAATGGAAATAGATTTGTGTCTGATGGAATTTAAATCTGCTTTAGTAGGAAATTTAATATGAATCAAAGCTATGTGTAACCTTCAAAGAGGAAAACTAGGCACTAAGGTAAAATATTCTTACCATGCGAGTTATGTTCTAGTGTCTTCATTACATGACTATCATAATGGTTGCATAATATAGTTTCTCTACCCTTTTTTTTCTACACTTGGAGGAAAACATATATTTATGACTAGCAAGAAGAACATTGGGTACTTTTTATACTTTTTTTTACTAGTAATTAAGAATTTTGTAAAAAAAAATAACCATTTGAATGATCCTGTAATTTTTCTATCATAACACACATTTCAAATTAAATCATGTATATATAATTAGGGGGAAAGCGCATACAAGTTAAAGTGAGAGGCTTATTCTGACACATGGAAGGAATAACATTAGGGTCTACCTCTACCTCAATTTGGTTAGCAATTTAATACAACTTCAGAGCTTTAACAAAAAATTAAAATATACCATTACCAATTCCTATTGCTTCTCATCTTTCATTTTTCAGTTATCATAAGGCATCTTCATTCTCTTAGGATTTTAATTTTTAGTGTATGGTACAAATGGACATATTTATATTCCCATTCTTACTTGCAGCTCATTTTAACTTTCAGTATGCAAGCACAATTTAGTATTTAAAGTGAACAATACCATCGTCAACTTGATCCTGTTGTCTTTAACACCCTTGCCCATGGAAAATGTTCATAAATCAACAGGGTATTTGACATATGTTAGACTATAACACAATACGTTAGATATGAGAAACTGCCTATTGATACGGGCTTGCAGTTGTGGATGAACCATGGAGCATTTCTGTGCTACAAGTATTTTCAAAATTGTTGTTTTTTTCTAAATAGGAGAAAGGGAGAGTAGTAGTGGGGCTTTTGAGCATCTCTCGAATAAACTTCTTATAGACTTGAGCATTATAGTTTGAGTTACAGAACACTGTATATGTAATTACATACTGTAAAAAAAATTTTAAATATGAAGCCAAACTCTTGAAAATTACAAAGTATAGTTTTACTGATTAGAGTCTAGCCTAGAGTAGTAACTGAGCTTTTCTAACTCAATTATCACCATACCTTATTTTTAATGTTTTAGCTGTTGCGCTCTTGTTCAAAAGAACCAAAATGTTCTCGTTTTTCTGCATTTAACTTCTAAGCTTAGATAGCTAGAGCTCACTTCAAGAGCTCTGATTTTCCAGTCATGAAGGCCTTCGTTCCACGTTTAGTCTCTAACCCGATACCATAAGAACTTTCATCTTTTGACAAAGTAACCTGTATTTTCATATTCTGCTCACTATCCAATGTATTGTTTACTCTTAGTAATTTTGAGAATGAGAGGGTTTTAGTTGCACTTCAGATTGAAACTTGAAGTGCTTAAAAGTACGTGCCGGAAAAATTAGGGTGGCAGTTTCCTGGGATCTTGTTTAGAAAAGGCTGTAAGTGAAAAATTGATGCTACCAAATTGTGCCTTCCTAAAAAGCATCTTGAAAGCATTTTTTAACATCAGTTCACAAATATAGAAATAATATATTGAAGCCAGAATCTGATTCTTTTGCAATTTTTTTTTCCGTTTTAATATTTGGTTTTGGTTTGCTTTCAAACAAACATGTTGACAGGACTTATTACAGTAAGTTGAGAGAAAAAGTTTAAGCAAAAAAGTTGAGAAACATAAAAGTGTAACATGACATCCTCATGCCCATGAGAAAAACATACAGGTCCTGTATTAACACCACAGCTAGCTAGATGGAACTCTGGTCAGAAAAATTCTAAACACTTACCAAACATTCCACATCCTGATACTTTAAATTTGATATTTGCTGACTAAACAATGATCAGATTGTACACAGGCATTTCAGAATATTAGAATATAGAATATTATTTTGAAGTGCATATACTTTGGTCAAATCTCTAGCATATAGATATGTTAGTATGGTTAGTCCAAATGTAGGGAACACTAAGAAAACTGTATAAATAGCATACCAAAATGTCCTTGTATATGAGCTAGAATAAAGTGTTATTCAGAAATGTTTTAAATGTTTAAAGCCATCTCTGTGATTGAATTTTTCTATTACATTTAGATTTTTTTTAGTACATTTAATTATAAAATATGGAAAGTAGTAACTCTGGTGAACCACATTTTACGACGTTACAAGTTCTTGCTATAGGAATTAACATTCTGAAAATTTTGTTATCAATGACAAACTACTATTACAGAACATATTATCCTGTTAAATGCTTTTTTTTTAAATTTTTTTTTTATTATTATTATTTTTTGCGGTATGCGAGCCTCTCACTGCTGTGGCCTCTCCCATTGCGGAGCACAGGCTCCGGACGTGCAGGCTCAGCGGCCATGGCTCACAGGCCCAGCCGCTCCGTGGCATGTGGGATCTTCCCGGACCGGGGCACGAACCCGCGTCCCCTGCATTGGCAGGCGGACTCTCAACCACTGTGCTACCAGGGAAGCCCTAAATGAATTCTTATACAGTTGCCACTACAGACATACACACTGGTAGTTCATAATTCATTAGTGAATAAATCATTTCTGGCTATGTGATGTTCTTTAAAATTCTAGAAACTAAAATCAGTTGTTTCAAATTTTCAAGAATTTTACTGGTTGGTGACGTTTTTGAGTCATCAAAATGTGGTGGTTTCAGTCCAAAGGTAGATCTCTGAGCAACATAATATAAGGGGGAGAAGTCCAAAGAACACTACTGTGGGAAAATCTCCCTGGTGGAAATTGACACCTTTAGATCTCACATTCTCCAGCTATGAAATACAGGCAGAAATTCCCTACAAACTAGTCTGAGACAAAACCAAAACCCATATATAATGAAAGATAAAAGTTTGCACTACTGGTTTATCATAAGACCCACATGGCAACTCAAGAGGGAAAATCTTTCCTAATAGCCAACCAGTTTTCCAAACATAATTCAAAAACATTTAAATGTGGGAATTCCCTGGCAGTCCAGTGGCTAGGACTCCACGCTTCCACTGCAGGGGGCAGGTTCAATCCCTGGTCAGGGAACTAAGATCCTGAAGGACACGCAGTGCAGCCAAGAAAAAAAAAAAACAAACAGAAATCAATAGAGAAAATCAACTAAACCAAAAGCTGGTTCTTTGAAAAGATGAATAAAATTGATAAGCCTCTAGCCAGACTGAGGATACAGATTACCATTATCAGAAATGAAAGTGAGGACATCACTACACATCCCATGGACTTTAAAAGTCAGTTTGGGGACTTCCTTCCCTGGTGGTCCAGTGGTTAACACTCCATCCTTCCAATGTAGGGGGCTTGGGTTTGATCCCTGGTTGGGGAGCTAAGATCCAACATGCTGTGCAGCGTGGCCAAAAAAAAAAAAAAAATGCAGTTTGATCCCAGTAAATATCTGGAAATAATTATTACTACATATGAGATAATTCTGTGTATACACTAATGAAAATGAAGTCTCAGTAAATGAGACATTGATACTCTGGAAGATTAAGATAAACATTTCACTTAACGTTTTATTTTCATTGAAGAATATATAAGGTAAAGGGGGGAATCCATGGAAGCAAACATGTAACAAAATACCACCACAGAAAAGCAACTGAATGATTTGAGAAAAAAAGACAATGGGGAATATTATGGACAACAACAACAAAAAAGCCTATTAACAGGACAGAAAACAGAAAATGGTTCTATCCTCAACTCTGATGCTGCTAGTCAGCCTTTAAGGGAACCACAATCCCTCTTCAGCTTCTCTGTTAACATACTTAACAATTATTTGACAGAGTATTTTTTAATCTGTGGGTATAATCAACTGTTCTGTATAATACAGGAGGGTCACAGAGACCTCTTTTTGATTGATCAACACTACGTTTAACATTTGTGTAAACAGTAAGCAATGAATATAATGTCAAGTATTTCATAAAAGAGTACTGATCATGTCAATAAATTAGGACAGTGATAGTGATTTTATAAGTTTGCATTGTTTTCAAAGAATGTTAAAACACAGTGAAAGGCATTCTAGGGATTATCTCTCAATTTACACTTTTCCCCAAAGCATTTACTCACTTCTACTTGGAAAAAAATGTAACTTCTCAATTTAATTTAAAAACAAAAACAAAAAACTACCACAAGGACTGAAGAAAAAGAATAATTTCTTGGGGTAAAAACATGCCAAATCGGGCTTCCCTGGTGGCGCAGTGGTTGAGAGTCCGCCTGCCGATGCAGGGGACACGGGTTCGTGCCCCGGTCCAGGAAGATCCCACATGCCGTGGAGCGGCTGGGCCCATGAGCCATGGCCGCTGAGCCTGCGCATCCGGAGCCTGTGCTCCGCAACAGAAGAGGCCACAACAGTGAGAGGCCCGCGTACCACAAAAAAACAAAACAAAACAAAACAAAACAAAAAAAACCATGCCAAATCGCCAAGTTAATGTTTTCTTTAAAAAATAAAAAAGAACAAGCAATCTTGCAAATATTTATTTAACCCATTTAGCAAAACTTAGGCAATTTTAGGTTCCTAATGCAGTCATTTCCAACAATGGTAGTATGAGCTGCCATATCTTGAAAGTAAGATTATATGGATTCTCTTTATTCTATCTTCAGAGTTCATGAAAGCATCTTTGACTTACTTGGTTTAGTCTTTTAAAAATTAATACAACAATGGTAATTGTTCATTGATCATAGGTAACTATGATCCTATCATTGAACCTCTGAAGTTTTGTATCCCCTAGTTGAACCCCATAAAAACCACACATACTATATACCCTTATCTTAGTTTTATCCAAGAAATGAGACCTTTCTTATTTGGAGGGAAGAAGGAAGAATTCATCCAGTGGGCTAGAGAAGATGCACTTACATGAAATAACACAAGTTTAGCATACACTTTCTCCCAGTAACCTGTTTCACAATCACCAACTACTTAATTCTAAATTCCTTTCGCTTTGTCCAGTAGTTTTTTTGTTTTGTTTTTTTTACAATTCAAATATACACATTATTTTACAAGCATGTATTGGCTTTGAAACCAAGATTCCAATCCATAAATTTACCTAATCTAAGCCATTAATAATCATAAAAATGCAAGGTTTATGAAATACATAAAACATTAGAGTACAGACAAAAACTAAGTTACTCATAAGGTTACCAAGTTGAGTTCTTAAGAAATAAACAGACGTGTAATTCATGAGGTACTACCCTATGACAAAGATTTAGTCACTTTCTGCAGAAGTTCTGAAATTTGTGAAGCTAAAAAAGAAAAGTGTTTGTGAACTTTGTTCTCCTACATAGGAGAGCAGCATCACTAACCGTCTATGTATTATGAGATACAAAAAACACTTGAATTTTTTTTAAAACGAATGTTAGTTGTGAAACAAACACATGCATACATACTTTGGGAGCAATTCATTTTATTACAGCTTTTTACTCTTGATCTGACTTTAGAAATGTACAGCATCAAAATGGTATTTTATCAAAGAAGACTAAATTCTTGAAATTGCTCCTCACTCTGTTACACACAATAGCAACCCACATTTTATTTCCAATTCAAACAATAAATAAACTCACTGGGATCTTTATTATTGTTCACAGTATGTATTATATGCAAATCAACTAAGAAAAATCTATTTCAAACATCTTCAAGACTCAAGAAAAACAAACACCATTACATGTTTTATCATTTTATTAGGAATAATTCCAAATGGGTTATGAAGAAAACTTATTGAGTCTGATGAGTTTTCCAAAACTCTTAATGAAGACATGTTCACCAACAAACAATAAAACATCAGCAGAACTATCATATACTGGGCCAAGAGTCAGGCTGATACCAAAAGCAACATGCAACATAAAAAAGATACAATATAAAGGAAGACAATCTGCTGAGTATTAAAAATCATCTCAATATGAACTCTTTGCAACTAGCACAGAACTAATTAGCTATCAAATCCAAACCACACCAAGGTAAGCTTGGCTGATGGAAGCCAGGAGTTAATAATGGGAGGGAAATATAAGTTCCTCAGTGCAAAAGATCTGAATAGTGTTTTGGAGCATTTCCCTGGCTGGTACAAGCAGTATTAAAAAATCTTTTTTGGCAAGGGAGAAAAATAAATACAAATGGAATGCTACATTTTTTAAATCAGCAGACTGTCCCAGGAATGATAAACGTATCCGTAAAGTAGCAAGGGGGTAACTTTAAAACAATTATTTGTTGTGGGCTCAAAAAAACATTCAAAATGGATTTATTTAAAGGTGTCACATTAGCTATGTCCAGGCATTTAGGCTTAAGGGAAGTAAAATTAAAAGAGGACACTTTTTTTCCCCAAGTTAAGAGAATCTCTTTAAAACCAAGCATATTGCTAAATGGCAACATTATACTTGGTAAACAATAATTGGCAACAAAATAAGTTTAAACGCTGTAATATTCTGCCCAAACCAGTCCCACATACTGTTTAATAACCAAGATGCAAACTAATTTTGTTGTAACAAGCCTAGACCAATTCTATCAAACATGTCCTTGGTTAGATATCCAGTTTCATTTAACGTTTTGAAAGCTCATTTGACAGCC